CGATCAGCGCCCCCCCCCGCTGCTGACGGCACTGCCTGGGGTGTCTCAGCGGTGGCCGGCTCGTCCCTTCAGGTGGCAGAGCCAGCGGTCACATGAGCCGGTCAGGGGAATGCTCACGCCCCAGGAGTGTCCGCACTCCTTTCTCTCCTCCCAGCACCCGGGCAGGCTCTGCGCCCATTCAGCAACGGGGCGGTGGCCGCGCTCAGAAGGCCAGACGGGTCCCCTCCTACAGCGCCCCGCGTCGGGGCTTTGCTCTCCCGGGAAGCCCCTCCTAGTCAGCGCGGGGCCTGTTGGGTGGTGACCGTCCAGGGCTGACGGGCTGCGCTTTTGCTTGCAGTGCGAGTGGCTGCTGGGGGACCGGAAGCCCTCCCCCGAGGAGCTGGACAAGGGCATCGACCCCAACAGCCCCCTCTTCCAAGCCATCCTGGATAACCCTGTTGTGCAGCTGGGCCTCACCAACCCCAAAACACTGCTCGGTATGTGTGCCTCCCCTGCGCTGCCCAGGAGACCCGCCCAGAATACCCAGATGTTCCTGCGTGATAGACGCCGCAGCCCCGCCCAGAGCAGTCCCTGCGCACGTGGGCCCTCCGTGTGCTGCTGCCTGCGTCACTGGGGCCGGGACCGGGCTCTGCTCCTGTGTGCTGACCCCCACACTCTGAAAACCTGCACAGTGGTCCTCCAGGTGCAGGGGAACTAATAAGCTTGCACCTTGCCTTCAGCTTAAAAAACACTGTATTTAAAAAGCCAAAAGCATTCCAGGCCCTCAGAGCCACCAGGCGCCCTCCCTACAGAGCGCCCAGGTCCTCGGTTCTGCTGTTTCTGGGCGTGTTGTCACGTGTGCATTGTCCAGGCAGTCTGCGTGCAGTGCCTGCTGTGTGAGTGGGACCGTCTGGGCCCACCTGGCTGTAGGCACTCAGCCTCCTGGAGCCAAGCCCTTCCTGAAGCCAGGGCACCACGGCTCCGTTCTGCTCTTGGCCCGGGGCGGGGGGTGAGGTGGCTCACACGGCCCCTGTCAGGGCTACCCTGCTCATTCTCATGCCCGCCCTCCGGGCACACATGCGGGTGTCTGGGCAGGGACCTAGGGCTGGGCATGTGCGTGCAGGGTGTGTGCTGCGGGAGGAGGGTGCAGCGCTCAGAACCCCGTGCTCCCCAGCACACGGGAGGGCACTGGTCGCCCGGCAGGCCCAGGTGCTTGTGGTCGTTGCCGTCTCCCTGACCCTCAAGGCCGAGCCCCCCTGGAGGTCAGCACTCCCAGGCCCTCGGCCCTGAAAGGCCGTCAGCTCGATTTTGGCCTCTCTCTAGGTGGGTTGTTCTCCTTGTTCCCCCAGGAGTTCCTCTTGGTCTTACCGATCCCGCCTTCCTCACTCCCACAGCCGCAGGTCCTGGGTCCAGTGCAGTTGGCTGTGTCTGTCTCGATGACACGAAGCCCTGTGCTCCAGGGTCGGGAAGGTGTGCGAGAGGGGGCGTGGCTTCTCTGTACACAGTTCTGCGCTCAGTGGGCGTCTTGCTGAGCTCATCTCTGTGCTGTGTAGGCCCTGGTCCTGCCCTGGGGCACCTCTGCTCCCCTCCCCTGACGGGGACACAGCCTGGCTCTCCCAGCCTCTTCCGAAGGGCTTTGAGGCTGCGACCAGCCGCCGGTCGTTGGTGATTCTCACGATGTACTTGGTCGGGTTAAGGAAGCTCCCTTCCCCCGGTTCGGGTGCTGAGCTTGGAACCCTGAAAGCACCTCCGT